AGCCTCAGGGCTGTCTTAAATCATGAATATAAAAATACTATCCTTTCGATGTCAAAAAAAACAAAAAAAAACAAAAAAAAACAACATATTCCTTGATTTAAACTTTTTACTGCTGTACTAGGAGGCATTCGATGAACTGGCTTCGATGAAACGGCGTTTGATAAAATGGAGGTTGATGAAACGGCTTCGATGAAACGGTATTCGATGAAACTGCATGCGTTAAATTAAATAACAGAAACTGCTTTTTTGTACATTTCGTCATCACTTTAATGCTGTACATGATACTCTAACCATAAATGCTCTTTTGCGAATTCGCCTCGTCTAATTTTGGGCTCAGTCGCGTATATTCCTGTTTGTCATCTTATGGCAGTTGCACACTCCCCATGGCAGAAGCGAGGTAAACGCAACCCTTTTTTTAAGGTTCGCCAAGCGCTAACAGAGGGATGAACAAAGGAAGAACTATATATGGATTTTGGTTGACTGACATATCATCGGAAAAAAAAAAATCACATATGTGAAAATATTCACAGATAACAACTAATTTAATTTATTAAAACCAAAAAAAGCTCGTCGATTTAAAAAGTAACCAAGACCGGAAACGCGGAACGTTACACATAAACAATCTATGTTCGAGTAATGAAAAGACAGTGAGTGTGCAGGCGAGCTAGTGGCAGTTAATCACGATGTTTAAAACTCGAGACTGTGGTGAGGAAAAAATAGGATACCTTGAAGTCGATGAAAAAGGCGAAAAAAGAGGAACATTTCTTGCATAAATGCCAGGATTTGCTTTAGCAGTATCGCCCTTCAAAGTCTATAGGCCAACGCGCAGTTCCCGCACGAGGTGTGGGCACTGCGCCTGCGCAGAAACCAAATTCATATGAAGAAACACGTCTGCGCATGCGCCACGTTAGCCGCAGCGCCACCGCATCAAGATGACGTCAGAGTCGCGTGTTCAAATATATCTCATCTTATCGTGTAATTAAAGAACGGTATTGCTAAGAATAACGCTTCAGCATTGACAATTTTTCAAGTTTAGGCCAGATAGCATAAGCTATTGAAAGTATCTCAATGCTTAAATTGTCATTTGGTATAAAGAGGCTGCAGTTCCTACATCGTGGCTAGGACCTTGCAGTCAAGTTTGCATGATGGTATTGATACTGAAATATTTAGGTACACTTTCATCCGCATATGGTACATGTTGAAACGACTTACGGGCTGAAATTTTCTGCGTGTTGTCCCTTCATTGGTTTACTGCCCTATAAATACTGTTGAAATAATTACCACTTTGCTCGGCCGGGTGATATGCCTATTTGGTTTTGCGGCCGCTTTCGTACTCGTCCTCTGTTTATTGTTTTGTTGTTATTGTTCAAATTACATTTTGCTATTATTACAAATCCTTGCACATTGCATAATCCTCACTGAGGGTTTCGTATTGTAATGTCCCCTGCCTCTTTATATTATTGCCCCAAAATGTAGTGGTATGTATTTGTAAAAGATGGACTCTAAAACATGAGAAACGGAGTATTCTGTACAAATAAAAGAACAGCGCAAAGGACGAGGACAGAGGCAAAAACGAGTATGACACACGGAGCGCAGACTTCCAACTGTTTATTTGGCGCAGACACAACAGTATATATAACAGCAGCAATCAGTTTGCGGTGTTGTCAGTTTGCTGTTATATATACTGTTGTGTCTGCGCCAAATAAACAGTTGAAAGTCTGCGCTCCGTGTGTCGTACTCGTTTCTACCTCTGTCCTCTTCCTTTGCGCAGTTCATTTATTTCTACAAATCATGAACCAACTAGCCCGCCAAAAGATGTATTCTCGGAGTATTCTGTATGAAAACAAAAGGGCAGTATTTTGTTCGCCCTTGTTAGCGAGGGATTGAAGACGATTGACCACAAGCGCACTCGTCAGAGGCTAATTGATAACAGAAGGATTCGTCACATAGAAACATTTGTCCTAAGGCGACTTGTCCATGTGACAGTCAGTCATATCGAGAGTGCAAAGAAGTATATAATAACATACAAACCGTATTATTCCGTAACTAGCTATGTTCATGGACGACATAGTGCAATCAGAAAAATAACACGGGATGCTTTATTAAAAACTAATATGCACGTAGATTTATGTACTACGGGGGATGACCATAGTCGTTCGATCACGATGTTATGCATAAATACCACGTAATATAAATACGAACGTGATTAAATAAATAAGGTGAATTTTTTGTATAAGGACTTCTAATACAAATAGAAGCTTACTTTTTTGTTATTTTTATTGTTTTACTACTTTTCCACATGGATTTATTTCTTATGCAAAATACAAAAAAAAAACACACAAAAAAACTTAGCATTTTACTGAGTAACAAAGATGGCCGACCAAGAAGCATGCTCCAGGATTGAACAGCGGTCAGTTATCAAGTTTTTGGTTGCTGAAGGGTGCAAACCCGTTGAAATTCATAGGAGAATGTCAACTGTGTATGGTGCCACATGTTTCAGCCAAAAAAATGTCTGCAAGTGGGCTAAATTGTTTAAAGAAGGACGGAGCAGTGTTGTGGATGAAGACAGGCCTGGCAGGCCTACAGAAGTGAGATGTCCTGAGGTGATCAAATCAGTCAATGACCTCATTCAGTCTGACAGAAGGGTGACAGTGGACGGCGTTGCAAGGACTTTGAGCTTATCTGTGGGAACAGCACACAAAATTGTCCATGATGACCTTGGCTACTCGAAGGTCAGCAGCAGGTGTTTGCCAAAGATGCTTACTGCGGAGCACAAACAGAGGAGGGTCGAGTTGTCCCAGCAGTGTCTTTCCCGCTATGAGAAGGATGGTGATGAGATTCTGAAGATGTTCACATCTGACGAGACATGGGTTTGGCACTATGACCTTGAGTCTAAACGACAATCCATGGCGTGGAAGCACGCAGGCTCTCCAGTGAAGAAGTCCAAGTCCCAGCGGTCCACTACGAAGGTGATGCTCACCGTTTTTTGGGATATGCAAGGCCCAATCACCATTACATTCCTTAAAAAAGGAAGCACTGTAATCAGTGCCAACTACTGTGAACTGCTGAGGCAGGTCAAGAAAGACACGAAGAACAAACGCAGAGGTCATCAGTCAAAAAGAAGTCATCTTGCATCATGACAACTCAAGGCCCTAACGGTGCAGACCATCAACGAGCTGTGCTGGGAATGATCCCTCATCCCCCTTATAGCCCAGACCTTGCCCCTTCAGACTTTCACTTGTTTGGTTCCTTGAAGGCGTTCACGAGAGGCACGAAGTTTGAAAGTGACGATGAAGTCAAAAGTGTTGTGAGCGACTGGCTGAGACATCACTCTAAAGATTTCTACGCTGAGGGAATACGGAAGCTTGTGCACAGATGGGAAAACTGTGTGACAGTGCTGGGAGACTACATCGAAAAATAAAAAAAAGTAAGCTTGTATGTGTATTAGAAGTCCTTATACAAAAAAATTTACCTTATTTATTGAATCACCCTCGTATCATATGTACTCAGATTTGGAAATACCTGGAAAGAAGTTTCACTTCTCAGATATAAAAAAAATGTTTCAAGGTCTAAAAACACAGAGTTTCGGTCACTGCCCTCAGACTGTCTGTGCGGCGTGAGCTGTCACACGGTTCAGAAATAAGGTCTATCTGCCAGTTGTAGTCGGCGTGTCTCTTTTACTTTTAAGAAGCTTGCAAATATGGTACTGCCTTCAGCCGGCGAGATCTTCGTTTCATCGATGCCGAAGGGGTGACGGAGTGGACATTTCAGACTCGGTGACATCACTAACGGCAGAAGCAGTGCCCACGAAATGTAATATGGAGTTTTAGAACTTTTGCTTGTAACATACACAAGTGATTAAAAAAGCAAATATTGTCAATGCTAAAAGTAGAAAATATTTTTGCAAACACCTGCTGATCAGACAATTCTTCAATTCAATATGCCAAGCAGATCTCGGTCGGGTCTCTCACGAGGGTATGGTTGTTTTGAAGTGCAATAATAGAACTGTTAGACAAATCAGTTGTTATTTCTGCTTTGTATTGAGATGTTCTGCGACAGATCCAATCAAACGGTGCGTTTTTCCTCATATTGCTTATATTCTTTCTTTCTCGCGTAAGTTCAAACGTGTTGGCGCTAGCGTGCAAATAGCCGTCATACACAATTGTTTCTGCACTAGACGGCAAATTCTGCAATATTTACGAGACCAAATCTACGAGCTATTTTTAGGAAATAACCGCTAATGCCGCTGTGACACGTATTCACTCTTACGGTCAAAGAAGTACGCGTAAAAATTAGAAAATATACCCAAACCGAAAGCGTGCCAGGGCGACTCAGTAGGAGGCGCCACCGAGTTTCTTGCCAAACAAAAAAAGGGCGCGTGCAAAAAACGATTTTGAAGCAACATCGCTCCAGATTTCTCCATCGCGATCCCCTACATCTTTTGTAATAAGATCCGAGTTCGAAAAATGTTGGCGGCAAGCTGCCAAGACATTAGCCGTTCGAGAGCTAATCCGGGGCTACAACGCTTGCTTCATTTTCCTTGCCCTCGTTAAGTCATGCTGTCCTGTAGGGGGCCTTGCCGGCGTGGCCCGAACAGAATAAAACATTTCCTTGGGGACGAATCATTATGTGACGGGTCGTCCCCATGACGAATCATCCTAGCTGTGACCAATGTTCCTCTGTAATGAACGGCTTTGTTACCAGTCGGCCTGTGACTAATCGCCATGGGCCAAGTCGTTTCGTTAACGTGTACACGTGTCACTAGAATGGAAGTGTTTAACATAAGTAAAAAACTAGACATTCGTTGCAGCGCGTAGGGTAAATACGTTAAATATACTTTTTTTATTTGTTCACATCGATGCACATGTCACCGCAACCGCAACATTTAGACATGACATTTACCTGCTCTATACATCAGAGTAACTAATACAGGGAATAGTTATTAGATTATGCAGATGTAACTGTGCTACAGTTAATAACCACGACTTCTATTCTTTCAGCTTTGCCTTGCCGGAAAATGTACTAACGAGACAACCGCCTCTTTAGGAAGCGCTGCAGAGCAAGCTTTGGTGAATGTATCGCCTATTAAAAAAAGAAGCTTCCTGCTTGATCAAATAAAAATATAAATAAATAAAAAATATGCTTTTGATTTTTGCTAGTATTTCCCAAACCCACAATGCAAACAAACAAGTAGCAGGTGAAGGCCTGCTAGTTTCTTCCCACTGAGAAATAAACATTCGTTAAATGTCATTATTAAAATCTTTACCCTATTCCTACGTGAAAATAAATTTATTGTAATAAACAGTTAAGAAAAATGTCACTTGGCCGGATTCAAATAACTGAGCAAGTTACCCAAACGACAAGAAAAACAGTAACAAACCTTCTGCTTCCGACGATCTCTCCTAGCACGTTTGGAAGTACTTCAAGACCTAGGCTAGCTCCATTTACAAATTTCTACTGTGCCCTTCAGAACGTTGGAGCGTGAATGTTAACTACAATCACTCCTAGTCTAACAGTGCAGTTGAAGCCTCGCGCTCGCCGAAACGGTCATATTCACATCTTCCGCCACGTAATCACGCTCTTGCCCATGCCCGCAAGCAGAGAGGGGATCGGGTGAAAGGAATATAGCTCAGCCTAATGCATTTGTTAGCGCCAGAAGAAGCGCATAGAATGCACTCTTTAAGGCCACGCACTGGTGGGTGTAATATTGACAGCGCTAAACGCTTGTTGTGAGTGGATCTCAGAATGCCTAGGTTCCCAAGATATTTTTCGAAAACGCATACCTGCGTTGATATCAGTGACTACAATATGGTGAAACTGTGCAATCGAATTTAACCGGGGCAGGTAAACATACTATAATTCTCCTCTCGCAGACCATAGATCACGTGCGCCTTGCAATATAAATAAAGCATAGTGCATGACGCACATATAACGGAGCCACGAAGACACAAACAGGCACGTGCACTCACAACTATATTTGAACAGTGTAATAAGGAAAGAAGTACATATCTCGTAACCTTCATCACGTCCACGCATGCGCTTGGCCAGGGTATTCACACTTTATTTCTCATTAAAAAAAATGTTAAAACAAATCTCTCAGCATTATACAGGGCAATGGATGTGTCACTTACAAACTGTCTGCCCCTCTTTCTGGTAAAGTATTCTTTCATTAACTCGTACGCTTTTTGGCACTTGCCCTTGACCAGAATCTTTGTCTCAGAAAAAAACGCGGCTCACCCTTACATTTTCTGCTGTGTTCAGGCAAATGGGCCCCAGAATTAGTCCTTAAATGTTGCACGTGCTTCCATAGTCGGTCATTCATACATTTTCCCGTTTGTCCTACGTATGATTTTACACACGTAAGGGGGGCTTCATAGGCACCCCGTGGCGCAATCCACATTCGGTCAGGCATGCTTTTGTGGTGCAGTCTCGCCTCTTACCGTTGTCACCGTTATTACGAAGGCAAAGGGCAGAGGCTCGGAGCTGAAAAAAGGAGCGGTACTTTAAAGCGCTTCGCAACATTCTTGAAGGTTCGCGACATTTTGCGCACATATGGTACCACCTTAGGCCTCATTTTGCTTAGTGCCGGTTGCGTCCATGTTCTATCGGCATGCCCTTTTACTTTCTGAGGGATGCCTTCTATCACATTTGTCACGACCCTTCCAGAGTAGCCCACTGACTCTATTCTGGTCATTTGGTTCCTAAATATTGTGTGTATCTTGTGCGCACGACTTTATAAAAACCGACTCCATAGCATAGCGTGGCGAGTCTTTTTTTTTTCCCCCTTAGAATGCGCAGAATCGTTCTGGGACCGTGGAGAATACCATGCCACGCATGTCTTTTTCTATGACCTCAAAACTCATTTCTAAAAACCGTAGATTTAAGGCGACCCGCTTAGGAGTACCGCCCTTTTTTTTTCAGCTCCGAGAAAAGACGGCCAAATTTGACCTTTTTCATACTACTGGCGACAGCGGTAAGAGGCGAGGTTGCACCACAAAGCATGTGAGGCCGTACGTTGATTTCGCCCCGGGGTGGTACATGAAATCCCACTTACGTGCAGAAAGTCCTGAGTAGGACAAACGAGATGTCTGAATAACCGACTAAGGCTGCCCGCGCAACATTTAAAGACAATTGAGGGGTCCCATTTGCCTGAACACTGCAGGAAACATAAGTGTCAGCTGCGTCTATCTAAGCGATTCTGGGTTAGGGCAAGTGCGAAAAATCGTGAGAGTTAATGGAAGTATACTTTATATGAAAGGGACACACAATGCGTAAGTGACATCTATTACACTGTATAATGTTCAGATAAGATGTTGTTTGTAGTGTTTTTTTTAATGGGAGGTAAAGCGTGTATCCTCCTTGCCAAGCGTATACGTGGATGTAATGAAGGCGACCAGATACGAATTTCTTTGATTTCTACACTTTTTAAATCATAGTTTGTGGGGGACAATGAGCCGCACAGCACGCGGAGGGACGGCGCCAAGAGCGTCGTCGAGGAGGAAGGGGCGAGGCTCGTGGTGTGTGCGCGAGGACAGTGCGAGTTCCAAGGGCAGAAACCAACGGAAGAGACGGTGCTCAGGAGCGCACAAAGAGCCGGACCTCAGGAACCCAGGAAAGGCCCGGACCTCAGCGAGCCCAGGAAATACCCGGACCTCAACGAGCCCATGAGTAGCAATTAAACCTTTCTTCATGATAGCGCTCCCTCGTGTGGCTTCCTCGGGGCGAATGGAACTCGGCCTGATCGGGCGGTATTGACAGGCGACCCCCAAGTTATGAGCGGCACCTGTGCATGTCTTGTTTTTTGTATGCGTTGTTTTTTGAGCCTCACACCATGGTTCAGAACGTTCACCAACTAGGCCAATTTCAAGTGCTTCTACAGTATTTGTGATAGAGAGTCCTGGGCAGAGACTCAAACCGTAACCGTAACCGAAACCGAAAACCGTTTAGGAACGAAATTTTTTCAGCAACCGTAACCGGATCGAAACCGTTATTTTAAAATGAGAAAAAAAAAAACGTAACCGTAACCGTTACTTATTTACCGTTAACAGGTTTTAACCAATATTAACCGAAAATAAAAAAAAAATATTACTTTTTCTCAGGTAGGACCTGGAGGAGGGATCTTGAAATGTCTTGGCCATTTGACAGAGTTACTGTCAGCGAGTGGTGCATCTGGTAATACATTTCCGTTAAATCTAACTTTAGCATTAGGATTACTTAGTTGGAATCAGTGGCCGAGCTTAAAATAATAAAAAAAGTATATTTCTAAATCTGCCAGACTCCTATATCGCTGCATGTATGCAGTACGTGTCACCTTCAGGGTATTAACTATAGTGCCTTGCAACACAGGAACGAAGGGCGAGGGTAAGGCGGGACGGGGAGGAGGAAGCAGACGGAACGCTGGAGAAGAGCGGGGGAAACCTCCTTCTCTCTTTGGCGTTCCCTCTGCTTCCTCCTCCCCGGCCCGTCTTACCCCTCGCACTTCATTCTTGAGTTGCAACGCACTCTAATAAGTTAGAATTCTCATATCTCCATCTCCTCCAGTTACGAAGCGTAGAAGCCGCAGTGACAGAAACCAGTATTTTTGCCTGCCGTCGCAGGTCGCGTGTTTGACACCCTCTGAGTCCGCTACTGTTTTTCCTACATCACCTTCACTTTTTCTCCTCATTTAATAGGTACTATAAATATACCTTGATCTATTCAAATAGTCTTAGAAATTTGATTTCTTTTCTAAAGAACAAAGTCAAACTCATCGTTCAGGTGGATTTTTTCGTCAAATTTGACGGGTCGTTCCTTTGTCTGTACTTAAAGTAAATTGTTGTTCTTTACCTCTATAGAAATCCCAAAGCAAGCCCATTTCAGATATAATAATATTATTATGATTTGTCGGCTAGCCGCTCCGCCACCTTTACGCAAACGTTGTGAGAAATAGCAAATGTTTAAAGATTAAAGTCAATTTTCTAAAAAAAAGACATTTCTGTAAATTTTCATTTCTTGAATTATTTTAGGTATAATAGTCGACTACAAGAAAAAAACAATCTAGAAATGTAATATCTTGGTTTTATGTCCTCTCTTTGTGCTGCAATCGTGTGAAATATGTGCTCATTTGACTAAAATACAGCAACCTTACCGGCATTGTGCGCCTCTACGGTTAAAAAATGTTTTTATTTTTGTTTACGTGTTTAAAAAGCACTGTAAATTAGGCGAACTTCTTATATTCATTGAAATCTAGAACTTTAACTAAGGGGGAAGCCACATAAGCACGCTACAAAACAATGAGCAACAAGAATATACAAATCTAAAAGCCATGCAACATATAAAAATATTTTCTATATAGAACGGTTCAAATTAAAGGAGGGTGGCTACTCATTATCCAGCATATTACAATTTACATGATAACTTCTCACACCATTCAAATCTTGCACATAAACCTTTTGGTAATATGCACCGGGTTTTGTTCTCCTCACATTTTTGCAGTTCGTTACTGAAGTGCAAGAACTGCACAGTTCTTGCAGCTCAGTTATGTAGAAATGCGCGCACAGAACCAGTAAAAACACGAAAACATCGATGTCACATTTTCTGAAGGCAGTACACATTTTTACTAGTTCGACGACACTGAATCAGCTTTCGCACTCGTAAACCACGCAATCCATGGTTGTATATAGCTTTGAACATGCCAGCACGCACTCACTGATGATCTTTTAAATTTCGGGACACAAAGCATTATGTGCATGCCTTGACACGTGTACGCAGCTACTCTGGGCTTTCGCAAATCTTTTTTAAGCCAACGTTCAAGACGCCTTCCTCCAGTGGCTTCCTCCACACTTGTGAGGATCGAATGCACCTTGGTGGGTTTACCTTCGCCCACTCTTTTTTCTTGAGCTCCCAGAAACGCGTGAACTTTTCTTTGGCAATTAAGAGTAGAACGCTCCCTTTGAATTTCGGTCTGACTGCCTCAACGAAGCTTTGGGCGTTCGTTGAGGAATACAATTCTGTAATTGTCAAGTTATACATGGATGCCCGTTGCCTGAGCACTCCGCCCACTCCATCACAAGAGCTCTTCCCGTGCCCTGATCGATGTGGAGAATATCCACTATGAGAAGACATTCTTTTTCTTGAATTCGTACACCTGGTGCCTGTTTTTAAAGGGCATCGTCCTAATTATAAATGAGTTGCGTGAAAATAGGCAATACTTCCTCCAGCCGGCCATCGACAACGTTGGGCGTAAAGAGCGCGTGGGAGAAGTCGTGGACGATGGCGTCGATCACTACGCTGAAGATTAAACTTCTCTGTTCGGTCCCAGCCATGCAGGTAAAGATGGAAACCATCTTGCTCTTCTAGTGATGTCCATGCACCGCGCGTTGGATCACGACACTCGGGCTTTTAGCAAAATCGAAGTGCAAGATGACAGCACGTGACTTCACATGCGCTTTCTCGAGCCACATGGCTCTTCACTGAGCTTGCCATATGAAGAAGTGGAAAATGTATTTTTTTG